CAGGTGGAGGGTTTTAGTGACAGAGCAGGAGATAATAAAGGGGGCTAGCAGAGATGCAGTTTTTGTGGTGCATGTAGGGGCTAATGATGTATGGAAAGATAAGTCAGAGGAGCTAATTAATAAATACAAGGGGTTGATAAAGGCATTTAATGAAAAATGACATAACTTATTTTTTTTTAGAGATATTTCCCCGAATTAACTGTGGGGATGATGTTATATGTAGATCACTAGGGCTAAATGCTAGGCTCAGGTTAGTATGAGCAGATTGGCTGGTTGGACTTGTGGGATCATTTCAGAAAGGAGCTTTTTGGAATGGATGGTTTATATTTAAATATGATAGGGGCTGGCTTGTTTGCTACGACTATTAACTCAGCTATAAGGGAAGTTTTAAACTAGGACTAGACAATGGTAAGGGCCAGGAAAAACTAAATGCAAAAAGAATAAGAAGCAGAGAAAAGTTTAGCATAGGAAATGAGTATAAAAGTAATTATAAGGGAAAGCTTAGTTGTTACTGTTGTAATGCTAGAAGTATAAGAAATAAAATAGATTACTTTAGAGCACTGGTAGGAATGGAGGATTTTGATATAATGGGAATAACTGAAACATGGTTAAATGTAGATGATTTTATGGTTAAACATAGATGATTTTGATGACAGAAATTTCTTTGAAATACAGGGTTATAGGTTATTTAATAGAGATAGAATACTAAAGAGAGGAGAGGAGTGGATTTATATGTAAAATGTGAGTTATATCCTGTTGAAGTTTAGGATATCAAAGATAATAGCAAAAAGATTGAATCCATTTGAGTTTCTATTAGTGGATATAAAGGAAAAAGGCTTTTAGTGTGAATTTGTTACAGACCACCAAATGATACTGATGAAATTAGTGAGAAACTTTACAACGAGATTAAGATTTAAGATATTAATGAAACCATAATTATTGGTGATTTTGATTTCAGGCATATAGGTTGGGAAATGGTAGAATGAAACCATGAGGTAGAAAGGTTTTGGAAGTTGTTCAAGATGGATTCTTTCACCAATTAGTCAAGGAACCAACTAGAAACAATGCTATTTTAGATTTAATGTTAACTTCAAATGTAGAAATGATCGAGAGGGTGGAAATTGGAGAACATCTGGGTGCAAGTGATCATTGCTCTATTAGGTTGAATGTTTTGCTGTACTTGGAGATAAGGAATAATGATATTTTGGTTACAAATTTCAAAAAAAAGCAAATATTGAAGGGATGCAACAAGAATTATCTGTTGTGAATTTGGCAGCTGAATTATTTGAAGATTGATGAGATGTGGACATTTTTTTAAGATAAATTTTTAAATGTTCAAAGTAACCATATTCCTTATAGAAAGCTGCAAGCAAAAAAAAACTAGTTTGGCTGACAAAGAGTTTAATAGATAAAATTAAAGAAAAGCATCGTAAGTTTAAGAAATTTAAATTGACTGGTATGACAGGAGATTTAGAAGATTGTAGAAGATCAAGAAAGTTGGTGAAACAGGAAATTAGGACATCAAAAAGGATGCATGAAAAAAAGATTGGCTGAAAATGTAAAAATTAACAATAAGGATTTCTTTAATTACATTAAGTGTAAACAAAATGTTAGGATGGGGGTAAGACCCTTGAGGGAGGATAAAGGAAGGCTCGTGGCTGATGATTATGAGATGGCTGGGTTATTAAATTGTGCTTTTTCTTCAGTTTTTACTAATGAAAATTTAAGCAGTATTCCTCATCTTGAACAGTTGATAGATGGAAAGAAAATCAATCAAGATGACTGCATTAATTCTGAGCTGATTAAGAAAGAATTGGGAAATTTAAAGAATGTTAAGGCTCCTGGGACAGATAATATTTCTCCAAGGGTTTTTAAGGTGGTTAAAGATTGGATATGTGAGCCACTTCTATTTTTTGTCAGTCCTTGAAGAGTAGGCAGGTACCGGAGGATTGGAAGTTAGCTAATGTCACTCCTCTTTTCAAGGGAGGTGATAAAAATTATCCCAGTAATTATAGGCTGGTTAGTGTTAAATCAGTTGTGAGAAAATTTTTGGTAAGTTTGTTAAAGGGTGCTTTGCAAAATCATTTAACAAAGTTTAGAATTTTATTGGATAGTCAACATGGTTTCACTAAAAGAAAATCTTGCCTTACAAATCTCTTAACATTCTTTGAAAAGGTTATTAATTATGTTATTTGTGTTTCATTATTTTAGTAGCATTAATTTACCTTAATATTAGCAGATGGAAATACATCTGCATTGTTTATGGAGATGGTGTTTAGAGTACAGTTTGCTCACTGTGTAGACTTGTGCTTAACAACATCCAAACTAAATTTATAGAGGATAAGAGAATCTAAAGAATCACAAGTTGTAATATCTTGTAGTACTTTCAGTGATACTTAAATTCTTGAAAAGCTTTAAATATATAACATGTATTTGAATTAGATAATTAAAGTAAGTACCCTGTTATGTAAAACTTGCTTATTATTGGGTACACAGAATATAATGTTTGTGTATCTAATAATAAATCAATCTTAAAATTTGTTAATTCTCAGTTGAAATTTTGATATTGTGGTTTAGCTATTTTCTGATTTTTAATTTCAAAGAATGTAAAATTTTAGGTTTGATCATTAGAACTTGTAACAAAGGAACACAGGTAGTTTGATCCCTGTGTAGTAAGTGTGAGTATGGTCTGTCCTGTCACATTTAACGCATATCAACAAATAGTTACATAATCTTACACGAGTTATCAAATCAAGTAGTTTCTTCTTGCAACATTTACATTAAATTTGCAGAACTTCTAAGAAAAATAAATTTAATTCAATTAAACTCATAAAAAAAACTCAATCATACACGATTATCTTTTAAGCTATGTGATCATTATTTCACTGATTAAGTAAAGACGTTTTTGAGAAGCTAGAATTAAGTCTTCCTTGGCAGTATAGAGTTGTTTGTGAAAGTAACATTTTTTAATACATAGTGGTTTGATTCTGTCCAGAAAATATGTTTCCTTTCTTGTATAGCAGCCAGATCAGGGTTTTGTACTTGATTCATTATAAAATGTGGGTTTTTAAATTGATAGCTGTAAAAGAAATATGCTAAACAGTCATTGTTGAGAGCTATTTACGAAATGAGGTCATGATGTAGCAGAACAATTTTTCATTCGGAAACTTCTTACAGGATATTATGTTTTAAGCCTTTGTTCTTTTTTTTTTTTTAAAGTAATTGCATGATTAAAGCTTGTAATTTGTTAATTTGAAATATCTCTTTGTGAATCAGAAATTTTAAATAATCAAAACCTATAACTTAGTGGAAATAGTGCTTTTTTGTCTCATTAAAAACTAGGATATGAAATTGATTTAATTATCTGAAACAGGTATGTGATGCATGTGAAGCAGAGATGCTGGGACAGGAGATAGAAACTTGTGACAAAGAAACCAACACTGAATGTGTATTCCCACCAGTGCATCATACTAGGGTTAAAATAGAAGGATCTTCAAGAAAATCGGCAATCAAACGATCACAAACCTTCACCCCTTGTGAAGCAGTCAACAAGTATCACTACATATGTCGTGTAGGCACTGCTTGTTTTACTCTTTCATTTTTGTAGATATCAACAGGGTTTTCAACCTATAAAATTAGAAATTAATCTACAGTAATGAAGCATTTATGCTCCTAATTTTACAGATATTACTATTTTTCCTTTTAAATTAATCATTAGTAAAGATTAATCATTGACGGTAAAGAAAAAATTTATCATTGGCAAAATTTAACAATTTGTTCATTAAGTTTTTTCTTAATTTACTTTGAATATAATGATGTGCAGCTTGGTACTATTGTTTTTAGCTGAACAGAAGTGATAGTGACAGTTCTGTGCCATTATACAAGAAAGAAGGAAACTTTCTTCGAAATTCTGCGGAAAGGAGAAGTCTCAGGTGGAGAAAGGTAAGAAAGTTTTATGTTTTTAAGTCTCTAACAAAAACTAATTAATTTTAATGTACTTTTTTTTTTCATTTTGCATTCTGATGAAATGAAAAATTTATCCTGCATATTAAATTTATTTTAAAAGAATCTAATGCATTTAAATTGTACAAGTAAGAAATGTATTCCAATCATGATTTTGCTTATGTCAGACATTTTTACTTTCACAAGTTTGTGGATCACTTTAAATCATCTTTAAGTCTCTTTGTAAGATGTCTCCCCTTTTTTATCCAAAATAGCTCAGAAGGGCTTGCTGACTCTCCATAATCTGTTCAGAAATTAAGACGTGGGAAAACATCATAATGACCAAACAATCGTTAACTGCTCTTAAAGTCAAAATCTATTTGGTATATACTGATTGATATTACTCTCCATGCTATTTCAAATTCCTCGAGAGCACTTATTATCAAGAGGTATTTACTTAACATCCCCAAGTCAGGGGTTCTTGCTGGTTTTTCCAGTCAGTGAGTATCAGCTGTTAAACGTATTTCCACTCTAAAGAATGTAATATCTGAGCCAACTAAGGTTCTGACTTTGTTGTTTACAATGCCAAGTCCACCTGCCAATGTTAAGACAAAGTATCTGAACTCAAATTCGATGACGAGGAACCCACTTTGAGACTAATAATGGCTGGAGACGGCTTGAATGGGTAATGAAGAAAAACTTTAATATAACAGCAAATGTACAACGTTTCGACGAGGTTTTGTCATCATCAGGCGGCACCTAACTGCCAAAGAGCATGGATGGCTCAGAAACAGGCCTGGGATATTTTCTACAGGTATTTCACCCTTGACAACTTGTAACCTTTCAGAAGACTTGACCATGCTCATCAAGTCAGACATCAAAGCCAAAAGGAACTTGAATTAAATTTGTGCATCCAACATCTCTTTTCACTA